GGTTGGGTTTGGCCAATAAAATCCCAGCAGAAGAATGGAGGGAAGGAGTAGAGTAGTCAGAATATTTATTCTCCCCTTTCTATAAGGACATCTTGGATTGGCTTGCTCCTTAATAGAAATTCACTGTTTCTCTAAAGGTGTACGGCTCTACACAATTCTCTTTCCTTCCAAGTTCTAATAAACTTTCCATTCCTTTCTCTCTTTGGGCCAAGAAATAGTAACAACTCCAATGCTGTTATCCCTGAATCTTTGCACTATGCCTCGTGGTTGCCCCAACCCCCTTCCACCCTTCAAAATTAGCTCCTTTAAAAATAAATCCTTCTCAAATTATCTTAACAATAGGGTGTCATCTGTTAGTTGGAAACCTGACTGATATACCTTCAAGGACATTCCTTTTCTGGTTCACTTTGTGCCAAACAAACCCAACAAACTTCGCACTCTAAAAGGGGGTTAAAGAAGGAAAAAACACTCCGACTTGGGATCAAAGGTGAAATTTTTAGTGAATGGTGGTAAATGAGACTGAATGTTTTCAAGGGACTCTGTTAGGAAAAAGTCACCCACAGAAAGGCACAGATAAAAATGGCCCAAAATACAGTCAGAGAATTTTCAAGCCTGATTCCCAATCACAAAGGGCAGTGACTAACAGCTGATGTAAAAGAGAGCTTCTGTTCACAGATATACAATTGCTGAACAGTCGGGCCATTCATTTTTAAGTGTCTGACAGTCAGTGAGTTCTCCCTTTCTCCCTCCCTCCCAATTCCTATAGTGCTTTGCACAGAGTAAAATGCACATAGGTTCTTCCAGATGTCTCCTCCTCAATTTTCAGTTCTGTCAAAGACGCAGCTGCGCCATATTTGCAATAATGCAGCATGAAAAAGCTATTGATCTGGCTCCATCTAGATGCACCACGTCTAACTGCAGGGCTGCCTGCAGCTTAATTATAGGAGTCAGTAGAAAGTAATGAAACTTTAAAAACAAAGACCATGAAACACAAATAATAGTAATTAAAACTCTGTGAGAAAGTAAGTAATAAGTAAAGAGCTTGCTGAAAACCAGGCACTACAGGTTTTGTACACATCATGTCATTTAAACCACATAACAATCCTGCAAATTAGGAGGTATCATCCTGATTCACCAGACGAAGAATCAGAGAAGGAGAGTAAGCAGCTTGCCCAGATTACTAAAGTAGTAAGTCATAAAGCCTAAAGTCAAAACCATGCTATCCCAAGCCTGTTTTATAAATTGGGGTGCATGCCCCTAGGGCAGCGGTCCCCAACCTTTTTGGCACCAGGGGCCAGTTTCATGGAAGACAATTTTTCCATGCACCAGAGGATGGGGGACATTGGAGAATGGGGATGGTGGCGTGATGAAGCTGTTCCACCTCAGATCATCAAGCATTAGAGTCTCATAAGGAATGGGCAACCTAGATCCCTCACTTATGCAGTTCACTATACCGTTTGTCCTCCTATGAGTATCCACTTTCCTGCCTTTCTTGGCTTTCAGAGGCTGCCTGCATCCCTCGGCTCATGACCCTTACCTTTATCTTCACAGCCGCACTGTTCTATCTCTCTGACCACTCCTGCATCTTCACATCTTTCTCTGACCACAGCCTGGAAAGGCTCTTCACTTTTAAGATTTAATAGGATTTAATTGGGCCTACCTGGTTAATCTAGAATATCTTCTTCATCTCAAGGTCCTGAACCCGGCATCTCACAACTGCAAAGTCCGTTTTGCCATGTAAATAGATTCACAGATGCTGGAGATGACAGCATGGGCATCTTTAAGGAGCCATTATTCTGCTACCATACATTACATTAATTAGTAAAATGCCTGGATTATAGTATGTGCTTAATATTTTCTAGTTGTTATGGTATTACCAATGTTATTATTCCATCTGATTCAAGTGTATGGGAAGGAAACGTCAAATCTTCTGGTGCCAATACCACCTTAACTTATCCATTATTCCCTCACTCTCCTGGATCTGTATTCTCTCCCTGTCTGTTGTTGAGCCCTTCAGCATTCTCAAGTCTCTCCAAGCCTGACAAAGTCCACCATCCGCCTCACCTCTCCAGCCAAATGCAGTCTCTCTGCCCCTCTTATTCTGTGTCTACCCCCATCTCTAAAGGTTTTGCCCTCACATTTTTCCCTCAGTTTCTCCCACTTTCTAACCACTCCAGCATCATTTCTTCTATCACTCCATCAGACATCGCTTTTCAACACTGATAATGATGGCTGTGTTGCTAAATTCAGTAGGCATTTAGTTTTCACCTTATTGAATTACTACACATTCTGTGATCCAATTACACCCTCCTTGTTGAAATGCTGTTCCATAGGCTCTCCCTCTCTGGTCACTATCTCTTTTTCAGCTTCTTTGGCTGGGCCATTAAATTCTGGCATTCTTCACCACCCATCTTGACCTCTTTTGTCTTCTCATTCTGTTACTGGTGGAGGGTGTCCAGGTTCTTGGTGTTTTGAACAAAGAATTGGACAAAACACACAAACAAAGCAAGAAAAGAATGAAGCAACAAAAGCAGAGCTTTATTGAAAATGAAAGCACAGGGTGGGAGCAGGCCTGAGCACAGGGGCTCAGGAGCCCCTTTATAGAATTTTCTGGGGTTTTATTACCCTCTAGAGGTTTCCTGTTGGTTACTTGGTGCCATTCCAAGTAACCATTGGTACATTTCCCATTGGTTACTATGTAAATGAAGTAGTGGCCTGCAATTAGTCTGATTGGTTGCAAAAAGCAACCATTCAGAGGCTAGAGTGATGAAGGTTACACGCTATTCAAGCATCTGATTGGTTGTAGAAAGCAACCAATCAGAGGCTGAAGTGAAGTCACAAAGTTACACTCCTATGCAAATGTCTGATTGGTTACAGAAAGCAACCAATCAGAGATACTTTCAACTTTCCATCTGACATGCAGAAAAAGGGGGTGGGGTTTGCAAAGGTAGTAGCCTCTGGTTCTTTTGTTACTTAGGTGTGGAAAGTTGGGGTTTTCCTTTTGATTTAGTTCTAGGAAGTCAGCATGAATTGGCCTTAGGTTCCTGCCTCCAGAACCTACTCTCCTGCCTCAATTCTACAGTCACTTTCCAGTGTTGTCAGTATCTCAAGCCCACTTTCACTATATAGACCCAAGCATTCCTCAAATATGTGCCTTCTTCTGGGGCGTCTGGTCACCAATTTCCTGCTCAGCTCGGCACCTCCAATTTGATGTCTTCACGTGCTCAAGGATGAACTCATTATGCTCTCTTTGCCCCATTTACCTAACTCCAATGTCTCCTGCACCTTCCTCAGTGTTCTCCATTTCAGTAAACGGTGACCCCTTCTGCTATTTGCTTATGTTGGAAACCTTGGAGTAGGGCTGCATCAATGTCTTTTGGGATGCTTAGCACCAAAATGTGCCTTACTGTATTTTGAAATTTAAAAAAGACTGCATATCTTAAAGTAAATCTTTAAAAATTCTCATTTTCCCATAGTAATAATTATGATGCTCTAAAAATGAATATCAAATCCTTTTCAGAATAATTTAGGGCCACATCTTTGCTGTTGCTCTAAGAGCTATTTGGTAGTCCAGCACTATCTAGAAGTCAATAGTCAGAAACTATTTCCTGTTGATTCTACCACATAAAATATTTTCAAATCTGCCTGCTCCTCTCTGGCACCAATGAACTGTACTCCGAGCCAGCCTGACCACATGTCTGAAGTGCTGCAATAGCCTCTGAACCCTTCTCACTGCTCCAGTTTATTCTCTACAAAGCATCCAGACAAGGCAGAATGATTTCAGCGGACAGACATAACTGATCCTGTCCTGTTGTGTTACTGCTTAAAACTTCTCAGTGGTTTCACATTGTCTTTAGGAGAAAATCTCAGATCCATAATAGGCCCAAGACCTCGCCACCTTGCCAGGAACCAGCCTTGCCTCTAGGTGTTCCTGGAAAGAGTCAAGCTCTTATGAACCTTTACACACAATTTACTCTCTGCCCAGAGCTCTCTCCCCCTCCTGGCTTCTTTTTCTCCAGTTCTTAAATTTAATGTTCTTTCTTCAGATAAACGCCCCCACACCAGATCAATGCTCCTTGTTAAACACTTCCTTAGTAACCTCCACTTTGCTTTGTAAGTAAATTATTCTTTGTGTATCTGATAGTTTAAGATCTCCTCTCCATTTTAATGCAAAGTTCCTGAGAAAGAGTTGGTAACACACATGAGTAATTCAGGGATCCCTTAATGCAGCTGTGTCTAATTGTAGAGCCCATGTTCACAACTACCAAATGCACATAAATCTGCTCATCCTGGAAGATGGCTTTTAGCTTCTTTAATTCATGATAGTCAAATGTTGATGCACGGGAAATCTTGCATCATATAACATCACTGAGCAAATTCTAGAACAATGATGTTGGGTTATTGGTGAACTCCTTTGTGCATGTTCTGTGAGTAGTGGACCACATATATACAGCTCAGCATTTACTTTCTGTGGACTACAGGCTGGACTAGCTGCACTAGACTCCAGCTCTCTTATTGTATAATCTCCACATCCTTAAACAGCGGTGACATTAATCACCTTGCAGGGTTGTAATAGTACTCATTTATTCAATAAATATGTAATGAGCATTCAGTATAGGCCAGACCTTGGTTTAGATGCTGGGAATTTGTTTAACAGTGCCTAGCTGCTTTAATGTTCCAGCTGGTCATTATTACAAGTAGTATCATAATTGTGCGTCGATGTTTGCTTATGTCACAGAGTATGAAATCTGTGACGTTTGCCGCTCATGGGCAGGCTCCCTTCGGTGACTGGACCTCCAGTGGCCCAAAGGCGCAGACTCCAGGGCATCACTGAGCTGTGTGGCCGCCTCTCTGCTCCAGGCCGCCAGAGGGCGCGTGGTCTCTACCGCTCCGCCCGGTATTCCTGAGCCTGCCCCTTACTAGCCGCCCGGCTTCCGTTCCCCTCCCCCGCGGCGCCTGCCCCGACTTGCATTCCACAGCTCCGCCCCCGTTGCCCCTAGCGGCCGTTTGTTGACGTCCGGGAGCGCGGAAGTCCGGAGTTTCTGCATGAGGAACAGGGACGCTTCTGCGGCCCGCGTCGGGACAAAGTGGCCGCCTTAGTCCGGATCAGGCAGCCCTCGACGGGCTGGCTGTATCGCTTTGGTATGAGGGACCCTGAGGAGCTGATGCCCGGTGAGTGGCGCCCGCGCCGGTGGCGGAAGGCCGGGAGGGAGGGTCCGCGGGCACGCAGGCGGCCAGGCCCCACCTCTGGACCAGCCCGGTCGGGACAGGCCCGAGGCTGGGTGGCCCGACTGGGGCGGGAGCTCTGGTTGCGCTCCCACCAATGACTGAGGTCAGAGGACTGGACGGGATGAACAGGATGGGGGACAAGGGGAAAGGAGGTGCCTGTCTTCTGCTTTTAAAATAAGCTTTTGATGAGCTTTTTGAAGGCCGGGACACTTTTTACCTCCCTGTAAACTTTCCAAAGTGCAGACTCCAGATGTGTGCACTTTGGAGATCCTGAGCACCCAGTTATGTATTGAATGCGATAAAGAGTGATTGATCAGCGTTGTGGGGCAAAAGGGGATGCTGGAAATGAATTGGACAAGGAGGGAGAATAGGGACCCTTTAGTGAGTGTTTCTTAGCCTTGTTTTTCCCCTGAGCTCCGTAGTTAGAAATACTTTTGTCATTGTGACCCGATACCGCATACATACTGTGTAGCAGAATTAGATGTCTCGTGAAGCAGGCCTTGTTTTAAGCACTTAGATTCCACACACAGCTTTTCGATAATGCATTTCTTTAAAAATGCTGATCGTGAACCTCTGAATTGATTTTTCTTACCCACTAATAGGTCATGACCAACATTTTGAAAAAACACTGGATTTGAGCAGAATCATACCTTTACTGAAATATGTATATTTTCTTCCATGCTCCTGGAAGTTCTCAATTCTCCTGCAGTTCACAATTTAGTGCGACATACAGGAAAGTAAACAAAATGACCATGCAAATTGACAGTAGAAGTCACAGGGCCAGAGCAGAGCCACCAAAACTTGACTTGGGGTGAGGGTATCAGGGAAGCAAGGACAAAACAGTTAAAATGTTAAAATAATTCATTCTGGGGAAACCCAGATTCTCTTCTAGATCCTGGTCTCCCAACTCAGTTATTAGTTGGAAGTGACATGCCTCACAGTGGTTCTCAAAACGTTGTCCACAGTGGCTAGTCTCTTGCGTATTAATATTTATTGTTAATACTTACTTATATTTGCTATGTTTTCATTTCTGGTACGAATTAGTTTATATGTGATCATCCTCCTTGGGATTTTCGCAAAAGCTGTATCTGACTTACTATTTGGTGTATGTGTGTGTTTAAGTGGTTATTGGGAACTGATGGGGTTTTTAGTCTCTCTTCAAAATGATGCTGTACTACAACAGTTTGTGAATACTACTCAGATCAGGTAATGACTTGAGGTAAGACTGTTAAATCTCAACATCCACGGGTACTCCTCTTCGATCTCCTAGGACCATGGCATTTTGTGATACTGTTTTGCAGGGCAAGATAAACCATCCTTTCTTATGTAGTGTTTCTGGAAAGAGAAAAAGACATCTCTATAACTGTAGTGCATGAGTAAGATGAGAATTAGAAACTTCCTGAGTAGCTGTATTGAGAGGATCTTTTCATTTTATTTTGGATCCCTAAGCATTCTGAATTCTCCTCGAAATCAGGAAAAGTTGAAGTGCTCCTTTGTTGACGACTTGGGTAATCTGTCTTTTATAGTAACCGTGTTGAAAGTTATATTTGACTACCTACCTACTCACCGTTATGATGAATCAGTAAACATAACATTCAACAGTTACGAATATACATGTGTGTAAGGGGGACTTTTTCTGTGTGAAAAGTAGAACACAGAAGGATTACTTTGTGCTAGGCAATATGGGGTAACATTGTTACCCCAATTGATTAGAGAGATGGTAATGGTAACAACATTGTCACCCCAAATGGTGAACTCTGTGTTTCAATACAGAAAAGCAGTGTTGGGTTTTTTTTTGTTTTTTTTTTGTTTTTTTTTGAGACAGAGTCTCAGTCTGTCGCCCAGGCTGGAGTGCAACGGCCCCATCTTGGCTCACTGCAACCTCCGCCTCCCGGGATCATGCGATTCTCCTGCCTCAGCCTCCTGAGTAGCTGGGATTACAGGCGCTCACCACCACGGTCGGCTAATTTTTGTATTTTTGGTAGAGATGGGGCTTCACCATGTTGGCCAGGCTGGTCTCAAGCTCCTGACCTCACATTATCCACCCACCTCATAAAGTGTAGCTTTTTATTGCTTTGTGATGACTTCCTCTTACATATTATGCTACCTAGCAATCTCTCTAATCAAACTGTTACACAGATGTGCTGCTGTGTTATAAATTCTGCAGATCATAGTTCAGAGAAGACAGTAATCATTTCCAACTCTTATGGTATAGGAAGAGTTTACAGAGGCAGCTATGAGCTTACACTTTGAGGATGCTAGGCTCTGGGCTAAGTTCTTTGCACATGTCATCTTATTTAATCCTTACAACAACCTTTGAATACCTAATTGCCTTTAAAGCCTATGTTTTTTTTTTGTTTTTTTTTTCTAGCTGCTTTCCCTTGGTTCAAATGAAAGAGATAGTGGTGGAGTAATTTGTTTCTCTCTGTGCTGTCTCTTATTTTATGGGTATTCATTGGGATTACCAATAGAGAAATTAGGAGTTCACCATTTTGGCCAGGTGTCGTGGCTTACGCCAGTAATCCCAGCACTTTGGGAGACTGAGGCAGGTGTATTACTTGAGCCCAGGAGTTTGAGACCAGCCTGGGCAACATGGTAAAACCCCGTCTATGCAAAAAATAAAAAATTTAGCTGGATGTGGTGGCACATACCTATAAGTCCCAGCTACTCAGGAGGCTGAGGTGGGGGGATTGCTTGGGGCCAGTAGGTGGGGGCTGCAGATAGCCACTGCACTTCAACCTGGGTGACAGAGTGAGACCCTGTCTCAACAAAAATAGAAAGAGTTCACCATTTGGGCTAACATTGTTTCCCTTGCATGAGAACACTGGAGGTTCCTTAGAAAAACTGGACCAAAGAAAATCCAAATTGACTGATAGAGACCCTCCCCATGGATATCCTGATGATGCTAATGAGTAAACTCAATACTATCCTGTTTCTGTGTTTGGAGAAAAGCTCTCAGTTTGAGGCCAGACCATGAGGTGTTAACCAGAACAAGAATGGCACAAATTATACCGTTTCATTCCAGGGAATAGGCATCTACTTGGTGACAGCAGAACTATTAGTAATGGAAGACTGCCTTCCTGTGATAGTGTATTTCTTTCTTTATGCATGTATATGAGTAATACGTGTTCAATTTAGCAGATTTCATAGGTCAAACTAGAATGGAGTCTGAGAAAAAGAAAGACTGAATTAAGGTGGAAGAAGGAAGGCTTAAATATTGCCAGAGTTGGGGCAAAGCTGTCATGAAACAAGGGGTTTGTATGGATAAATTGCTGAACAGGTATTTTAATAACAGGCAACATACTAAAAGTTATAAAATAGAGACCATCTTGTATTTGCAGATTCGGGTGCTGTGTTTGTATTTGGGAAAAGTAAATTTGCTGAAAATATTCCTGGTAAATTCTGGTTTAAAAATGATGTTCCTGTACATCTTTCATGTGGAGATGAACATAGTGCCATTGTTACAGGTTAGTATAACTATCCTGAATGAGTACAGTAATACGTAGAAAATTCTAAATATTATGTTACAGCTGTGCTGCTGTGTTTTAAACATATTGAAAATGCATCAAGGGTGTTGTTTTTAACTTTTCCAGATAATTCTTCACAAAATCAGTCATCAAGAGGTATTTTACATTTTAAGTTTCCTTAGTATATTTAACTGTGATTTTCTATATACACACCTTTCTTGGAATTAATCTATTTAAATATAATTTTTTTAAAAAGCTGGCCTGTAATCCCAGCACTCTGGGAGGCCAAGGTAGGCGGATCACGAGGTCAGGAGTTGGAGACCAGCCTGACCACTATGGTGAAACCTGGTCTCTGCTAAAATAAAATACAAAAATTATGGCTGCATAGTATTCTGTGGAGTTCGTGTCCTTTGTAGGGACATGGATGAACCTGGAAACCATCATTCTCAGCAAACTGACACAGGAACAGAGAATCAAGCACTGCATGTTCTCACTCATAGGCGAATATTGAATAATGAGAACACAGGGACACAGGGAGGGGAGCATCACACACTGAGGTCTGTGGTGGGGGGACTAGGGGAGGGACAGTGGAGTGTAGGGAGTTGGAGAAGGATAACATGGGGAGAAATGCCAGATATAGGTGATGGGGATGAAGGCAGCAAACCACATTGCCATGTATGTACCTATGCAACAATTCTGCATGTTCTTTACATGTACCTCAGAACCTAAAATGCAATAAAATATATATATATATATATACACACACACAAAAAAAAAATTAGCTGGGTGTGGTGGCATGTGCCTATAGTCTCAGATACTTGGGAGGCTGAGGCAGGAGAATTGCTGGAACCCCGGAGGTGGTGGTTGCAGTGAGCCAAGATCGTGCCACTGCACTCCAGTCTGGGTGACAGAGCGAGACTCTCTCTGTCAAAAAAAAAAAAAAAACAAAAACAAAGAAACTGTTATTATATAATTTTAGAAACTCTTTTCCACCTAATAGAATCTGGTTATACATAGATGAACAAGGTAACTTGTTTCAACACAGAAAAGCAGTGACATTTTTAAAGTATAGCTTTTTATTGCTTTGTGATGACCTCATCTTACATTATGTGAAAAATGCCTCAATTGATTATTTCTTTTTTCCTCCCACCAGGAAATAATAAACTTTACGTGTTTGGCAGTAACAACTGGGGTCAGTTAGGATTAGGATCAAAGTCAGCTGTCAGCAGGCCAACATGCGTCAAAGGTTTGGGATCTTTTCATCGTTTCACTTTAAATACTTAACAAACTCTATAAAGTATTTTTATGTTGACTGTGTAGTTCTTTAATGTCGTACATAATAAAGCCTTTAGTTCTTTATTTTCTGACATTTGCTTGAATATTATTAGCATTTAACTTATCTTTTATATGATATTCAGAACTGCTTTCATATGTTAGGGTCTAAAAATCTGATTGATTTTACCCAGAGCCCACAAAGGAACTAATAATTTTACAGTATTGCATTTGAACATCCCCCCATCCCCCCTTTTTTTTATTGTTTGTAAAACGACTTAAATATTACTATTATTGTGTGTACAGAGAACAAAGAGCATCATATGTTAGAATTTTGAGATTGTCTCATTTAGTAGAGTTGTGGACATTATGTTTCTATTTAGTTGCTGTTTCTATAAAACATACTTATCCTGCTTTATATAGTGACTAGATGAAGTAAACAGAACATTGAGACTTGGGACTGATTAGTACTAGAGTAAAAGAACAACAGGACAAAATATTTGAAATCAGCAGTGTTCCAGAAATTATTACATATATAATATCCTTACAAAGCTTTCAGGATCTCATATGCAAAACCTATTTGGGTATAACCTGTGAATATCAGCTAAACTTGAAAGGGTGATGGAGATTCCTTGAGATGTAGTAAGAGCAATATTTTTTATCATCCTGGCTAAATTTTGATTTCAGCTGAAAATTTCAGCGTAGCTCATATTGATGCTGTTTTTGGGAATTTTTTTTTTTTCTTTTTAGTTTTCTTTTTTTTATTGTTTTTGGGAATTTTTATGGAACTTTTAAAGTATTCAATGTGTTCAAAAAGTATTTTTTGAGCACAGTCTAAACACTTGGGGATATTCACAGAGACCATGACCCTTATTCTCAAATATCTTATCTAATAGACAAGCTAACAGGATTATGTTATGGGATTCTAGACTATGGGATTCTTGAGACCAGGGATTCTATCTTAGTCATCTTTTTGCAGCCCCTATGTGAAGCACTTAGGAGATGTTCTTTAAATGTTTTTTGAATATGTTGACGAATGAATGAACAACTTTCATTCATTGGTGTATGCTTGTGAATATTGGTCTTACAGTTTTTCATTGAATGTGGTATGTGGTAGAAGGTGAGCTTGATAATGGTGATGGCAGGTTAGGTGATGGATCAGGTTGGTGAGGAGGCAACATAATAGAATACAGTAGGTCTCAGCACATATTAATTACCTGTAGAGTTTTTTTTTTTTTTTTTTTTTTTTAATTTTTTGAGACAGGGTCTCGCTCTGCCACCCAGGCTGGAATGCAGTGGCGTGATCTCTGCTTACTGCAGCCTCGACCTCCTAGGTTCCTCAGCAACCCCTCCCTGAATAGCTGAAACTACAGGCACGCACCACCACGCTCAGGTAATTTTTGTATTTTTTGTAGAGACAGGGTTTCACCATGTTGCCCAGGCTGGTCTAGAACTCCTGAGCTCAAGCACCCATTTCGGACTCGAAAGTGCTGGGATTACAGGTGTGAGCCACCACACCCCACCTACCTGTGAAGTTTAATATATATATATATTTATGTCAGCCCCTTCTTTAGACCCATTGACTCAGATTCTCTAGGGATGGAGCTAAGATATCTGTATTGTATTCAAAGCTCCACTGGTTATGATGACATATAACCAGTTCTGAAAACCTCTGGTTTGCTAGTTAAGAACATTGACTTTGGAATCAGACAAGCCTGCTGTTAAATCTCAGTTCCATCACTTGGTTACCATTTGTCCTGGAATATTGTTCATTTTTATTGCTGTAAAATAATTGTCCCATTTTTAAAATTTTTTTAGCTCTAAAACCTGAAAAAGTGAAATTAGCTGCCTGTGGAAGGACCCACACCCTGGTGTCAACAGGTATAGTGCTCAACCTCTATGATTTCCTGCCTGACTTTGAGAACTGAGGTCTCATTCTAGTAATGTGGCTTTGTAAAATTGATAGAGATTGTACTTTGGCAATAGTAAAATTAGGGTTTTTTAAAATGTCAGTGGCAAGTACACATTGGCCTTTGCAAATATACCTGTAAATGCCAAGTGGCTGAAGAAAAAGCTTCTTTTCTTGGATTGTATCATGGGACAGCGTGACCTAACCTATGTGTCCACCTTAAGGACTGGTTGTTCCTGTTTTTGCTCTTCTCTCTTCCTTACTAAGGGTAAGTAGAAGGCATCCAAAAGGCTGTTGATGTAAATGAGCACAATTCCCATCAAAATCCATACCAGCTTTTGTGTGTGTATGTGTGTTTGTAGAAATTAACAAAGTGCTTCTAAAATTTATATGGAAAAGCAAATGACATAGAAGAGCCAAAACAATTTTGAAAAATAACAAAATTAGGGGACTGGCATTACCTGATTTCAAGACCCACAGTAAAGCTACTGTAATCAAGACAGTGTGGTATTGGCAAAAAGATAGACAAAGATTAATGGAACACAATAGAGTGTACAAGTAGACCCATATGTATATGCCCACTTGATTTTTGGCAGAGATGCCAAGGAAATTACATAGAGAAAGGATAGTATCTTCAGCAAATGCTGTTGGAACAATTAGATCTCCAGGACCTGACCACTGAGCAGTACTTCCTACCTCCTTCCCCCTGCCCCACACCCCTGCCCCCCAGATGATTCTGTCTTCAGGATATTCTTACTGCCTCAGCTCCTCTTCACCACTCATACATTTTTCTTTCTGAAGTGTCTTTTCTCTTTCTCTTAGCCTTTTCAGATTATTTTTTGAGATCCCATTAAGTGTTACTTCTTCCATGGAACATTTTGTGGCTGTTCAACTTTGTGCTCATTTATTTGTTTGAATTATTTCAACATCTCACCAACTCTGGTTTGCTCCATATGTATTAAATTGTGCACTCCAATTTCATGTGACCTTATAGTATGTTCCATTTGAAAGCTAGTCTTGTTTCCCCAATTAGGTTTCTTCTTTTCCTAAAATGATAAAATAAAAAATAACAATAACTTTAAAATTTTAACTCATTCACGCTGATTTTGCCCCATAATTTAGCAAGGCTTTAACCTCATGTATATATTTAAGACATAGATAGCTAATTTAATGTGTGTGTTAAAAATCTTCATTAATTTACAGCTTACTGGTAATATTTATAATCTAGGCATGATGTACTTTTTATTTAATTAAGAGAGTAACTAACAAACATTTTTACATACTTTAAATGACCCAAATGCTGTTCTAAGAATTTTATAAATGTCAACTAATTCAATCTTCATAACAACTCTATGAAGTAGGTACTATTATTATCACCATTTTATAGATGAGGAAAATGAGGCACACAGAGGTTATGGCTTACCCAAGATCCCACAGTTTTGGTAAGTGGCAGGCCAGAATTTGCACTCAAGCAGTCTGGCTCTGGAGTCTTGCCTCCTAAACAGAGTGCTATAGTGCCCTCCTATTTAACTAGGAAGTTAAAATAAATACAACATAGAATTATGTTTCTAATTAGATTCTTCTTGGATTTCCCTCATTTTACTCATTTGTACTATTATATCTTAGCTTTACTGGGTACAGAAGTTAAAATGAATGAACACATCTCTTTTTAAATAGTTAGATTTGCATTTTAAACTAGTTTGGAAGTTACTTTCTTTGTTTTTACTCTGAATTAATAAAGTGGTATATTAGCAAGAAATATGTTTCATGCATTCTATTCATTTCAATTGCTAGTTACATTCTAGATTGATTTCTCAAATCTCACAAAAATATGTGGCCTTACTTGTTTTGTTTTATTTTGACAATGAAATGAAGTTGTCTACGAAATAATAGGATAATGATAGTTTTCAACTTTCTTCACTGTTAATAGAGGAAATCACTGCTCTACACTGACCTGTCTTGTAAAAAGAGGGACTCTATAGTCTATTGATGTCTTCTTTTTCATGTGCAGAAGGAGGCAATGTATATGCAACTGGGGGAAATGATGAAGGACAGTTGGGGCTTGGTGACACTGAAGAAAGAACCACTTTTCATCTAATTAGCTTTTTTACATCCCAGCATAAGATTAAGCAGCTCTCTGCTGGATCTAATACTTCAGCTGCCCTAACTGGTGAGACTTACTTCCTTTTCAATCTGGGACACATTCCTTTCCTATAGATCAAGATATGCCAGCTCAGTAAACTGAAGACAGCATTGCTGTTTAGTTTTGTTTCATTGACTATCTATGTCCTTTCAGAACACATTTAAAATATAATTTTAAATCTTGACATATTGCAATTTTATGCTTATTTTGAGTTAGAATGTACATATATATTTAAAAAATAATTGACAAGTTCTAAGCTATGCTGTGTCTCTACTCCTTCAGATATTCTTAAATATTATTTTCATTGTGTGCTCTGAAAGTTATACTCACAGTTTTAACTGAAGTTGCTATCAGAAACATCCACAGAAATCTGTTGCAGCATATGTTAAGATTTGGTTTGTAATGGTCATCGTACCTTTCTGCTCTCTCTATCAAAAGCCCATATGAGATATTTCTTTAAAATTTGGAGTCAAGATCAGCTTGATCTCACTGAAGCTGCTAGTTCACTGCTTTGTTTCAAACAGGAGACTGTGTAATATCTAGTGTTACTTTATCAGGAAAGTCTGAGTTGTATCTGGACCTCAGTTCTTTAGATTTTTGTCAGCAATTAAGTTAGCAATTTGACATCCTTTCAGTTCTTATTTTCAGTTACTTGTTTTGCATTATTTAACCATTTCAAACATTAAAAAATTAAATTAATTAAAATATATAAATAAATAAGTCTCGATAATTCCTTTCTAAAAAATTTTTCCTAGGTTAGCTTTTTCTGACATCAAAATCCTTATCAGAAATTATATGTTACCTATTTTTGAGATGCTGTTCATGCTATTATATCCTCATTCTCTGAGACTAGATTCTGTGTTTTCAGGTTTAAATTATAAGGAAAAAAATATAGTGAAATACATTTATTTTGTTCTTTTTTTTTTTTTTTTTTTTTTTTGAGACGGAGTTTCACTCTTGTTACCCAGGCTGGAGTGCAATGGCGCGATCTCGGCTCACCGCAACCTCCGCCTCCTGGGTTCAGGCAATTCTCCTGCCTCAGCCTCCTGAGTAGCTGGGATTACAGACACGCGCCACCATGCCCAGCTAATTTTTTGTAGTTTTAGTAGAGACGGGGTTTCACCATGTTGACCAGGATGGTCTCAATCTCTTGACCTCGTGATCCACCCGCCTCGGCCTCCCAAAGTGCTGGGATTACAGGCTTGAGCCACCGCGCCCAGCCCTATTTTGTTCTTTTTTAAAACATCATTTCCACAGTGCTTTCAAGAGCAAGGTCTTCCAGGCTTTTTTGACCTGCAAATATCTAATGTGACCTGTGCTGTCTTTCAGTTCAGTTGCAGGTAGACTGCTTAGAAGGAGGAGAACATTTCTGTTTAGAGATATTAGAATGGGAAAGGGTGATTGTAGGAGAGGGCATTCTGTCTTTGCTAACAAGATAAAAATATGTCCGTGACTAAAGTGATTTACAATCAGGCTATTTAGTGTTCTTTATTATTATAGAAGCATTTCACAATACAAATTGAACTGTTAAGTAGCTAGCTAGTATAAATGTCTTAGTAGTTCTTTATTATCAAGATACATAATTTTTATGAATTAAAAAATAAATGATCTTTTGGAAGTATAATAGCTTGAGAGCCTGCCTGTCTTTTAAAACCCTTTCTCCCGCTTGTATTTTTCTTTATAGAGGATGGAAGACTTTTTATGTGGGGTGACAATTCCGAAGGACAAATTGGCTTACCAAATATGCCTAATGCCTGTGTCCCTCATCAAGTGACCACTGGGAAACCTGTCTCCTGGATCTCTTGTGGATATTACCATTCAGCTTTTGTAACAAGTAAGACACATTTTGAATTCATCATGTTATGTCCCACTTCTCTGTTATTACTAAATTAATAATGAAATGATGTAACATTCTCTGGTTCTGTAGAAATAATGCCATGGTTGTCCATGTAATGAAATGATTTTGGTCTTTTTAAGGTCACAGTATTTCTCCATTTATAGAATTAGAGTTCATAATTTCAAACTCTCTCTGACATGATCACTTTTTAGGTGAATATAGAGAGCTCAGCATGACATATGGTTTCCTTTGGTGGGACTTTCTCAGCATTCCCAACTTCTCCCTTTCCTGGACCCACTGGCAACCTTTTCTATCTTAGTTAAAATATTTGAAATGTTGGACTATAGCTGTTATAGTCTGTGTCTACACTAGTAATAATAGAGGAAGTATGATTATGGCTTTCTATCTAATTATGGGATTTTTTAACAGTAAAAACACCTAGAGGAAATAGTTTTGTGGGCCCTCTTAGACAAATCTTTAAATATTTATTTTATACATTTACTCTTTATTCCATGTACCACAGATTCAGGGTTAGAAAGTGGTAATTGACCCATTTCAGTGCCCCCCCCCCAAAGTTACCAATGAATTGGTAGCAGCATGATGTTTTTATACAGGCATGTGATGGCTAATATTCACATCATGGAAAATGAGGTATCTGTCCTCTCAAACATTTATCCTTTGTGTTACAAACAATCCAATGATACTCTTTTAGTTATTTAAAAATGTACAATTAAATTATTTTGACTGTAACCATCCTGCTGTACTAATACTACGTATTATTCTTCCTAATATTTGGACCCATTAACCACCCTGTTTGATTTCATTTAATATAATGACCTCCTGTTACCCAGGCTGGAGTGCAATGGCGCGATCTCGGCTCACCGCAACCTCCGCCTCCTGGGTTCAGGCAATTCTCCTGCCTCAGCCTCCTGAGTAGCTGGGATTACAGGCACGCACCACCATGCCCAGCTAATTTTTTGTAGTTTTAGTAGAGACGGGGTTTCACCATGTTGACCAGGATGGTCTCGATCTCTTGACCTCGTGATCCACCCGCCTCGGCCTCCCAAAGTGCTGGGATTACAAGCGTGAGCCACTGCGCCCAGCAAGTACCACATTTTTTTTTTTAAGACAGAGTCTCGCTCTGTTGCCCAGGCTGGAGTGCAGTGGCATGAACTTGGCTCACCGCAACCTGGGCATCCCAGGTTCAAGCGATTCTCCTGCCTCAGCCTCCTGAGCAGCTGGTATTACAGGTGCCCGCCATCTGCCCAGCTGATTTTTTTTTTTTTTTGTATTTTTAGTAGAGACGAGGTTTCACCAGGTTGGTCAGGTTGGACTTGTACTCCTGACCTCAGGTAATCCACCCACCTTGGCCTTCCAAAGTGCTGGGATTACAGGTGTGAGCTACCGTGTCCGGCCCCACATTTTCTTTATCCATTCATCTTTTGATGAACACTTAGATTGCCTTCAGTTCTTGGCTTTTGTGAACAGTGCTGCAACAAACATCGGAGTGCAGATATATCTTTGATATACTGGTTTCCCTTCTTTTGGATATATGTCCAACAATGGGATTGCTGGATCATGTGGTAGCACTGTTTTTAGTTTTTTGAGGAACCTTCAAACAGAACTGTTAATTTCCTAATAAAAATACAGAACATATTACTAAGATAGTCATGTTTAAGACTTCCTACAGATTTTTAACCTACTAGTATGTTTAAATGCTTACATTCATGTTTTAAATTCATGTTCTCATTTCAAGTTCATATTATAAATTATATAAAATACTCAGTTTTCATATATTATAGGTAAAATCTATGGAGTTTTCAGGTATATCCCTGATTTCTGTGTCTTTTCATCTGATATGTTAATAGTTGGGTTTGAGCATTTCAACCAATGATTCACTGAATTAGGTATAGTACAATAAAGGATATAAGCAAATGAGTTGGGCTCACAGTACCTGGGGGCAGGGATCTGTGGAACAATCTTCAGAGATTGGAGAATAGAGACTTGACAGTGTGCTTAAGATCAGAGTCCTAGGGAAGGTAGCTCTCAGACCCAGGTGGATAGTTTGAGGAATCCAAATTTTATAAAAATTAATAGGCCTAAGTGAAATAGATAGAAATATGACTGGTTAGGAGTCCAGGGACCTACTATGGAAGGTTTCTTGTAACAATCTGAAGAGTTTATACTTGATACATGTGTGTGTGTGTGTTTTTTTTTTTAATTTGGAAGTGTCATAATTAGAGCCTTGTTTTTGGAAGATATCTCTGATATTGTGTGGGTATGTTAGACTAGAGGTAGGAAAGACATTTGGAAAACTTGATCAGGTGAAAATTCGTGTTAAGGCATAAGGGGAATCAGGAATCTATAGACAGAAACGGGGAGAGACTCATTAGGACTTAGTAACCAGTTTCCTATGGGAGGCAACAAGCATGGGAAAATGGGGAAGGGTGCTAACTTATTAGGCACCACTTTTGTGCCAGTATTTGCTAAATACTTCATAGAAAACTGTGGCCCATAAAACTTCATTTTCTGTGCAGATCAATTCAGAAAATCAATATAGTTGTGTTTACAGTATTTGACCATATTTTAAGTGGTACATATCTTGTTTATTGGCTGTCCCACACCTTCCCTAAGTTCTGTGATTTTCTAGAAGGACTCATAATCTTCAGTAGCAGATTATACTTATGGATAAGATTTATTACAGCAAAGGATACAAAGCAAAAATAAAAAGTAGGAAAAAGATAAGCATCTGCAATGGAGTGCAGAAAAGTCGAACATGGGCTTTCTAGTACTTTCTTTTAGGAAACCACAGAGGGCATGTTTTCTTCTTAGCAGTGAACTACAGGGACATGTGTGGAATGTCTCTGCCCAGGGAAGCCCATTCTGGTGCTTCCAGTGGATTTAGAGGGGCTGGTCATGCAGGCACTTGCTGCTAGCAGCTGGCCACAGCAGCGGAAACTCAGAGGACCCTCAGTAATGAAGCTAGGTGCATGTCATCAATGTTGATATTTGTGCAAGCAGCCTTAGAAACCTTAGCCTAAGAAACCTAATCTGGCATAATTCATTGCTCTGGTGTACATAACAAAATCATTAATCACTCACTTAAAGAACACTCCAGGGGCCACCTTCCCAGGGGTTGGGCAAGGATCAATCATGGTTCTCTCAGAGACTTGCAAAGAATAAGCAAGAAGATCTGCTCTGTTGTGTCTTTTCTCATACCAGTAGTGACATGTTCTATGTCATTCTTCATATTGGATCATATACTTACCCAAAGGTTTTAAATTATACTTTATAGAACTCAGTTAATTGCATAGAAATGAATAAGAAAGTTCTTGCTTTCAAGAAGTTCACAGTCATAATACAGTGTGATAAATGTAATTAAGCAAATTAATAGTGTTAGTATGGACAGGGCAGTGATTATGTGTCAGGAATTCCTTGGTAAGAGTCTTTTTGGAAGAAGTACCATCCGAATGATGAAGTCTGCAATCTTAAGATTTACTTAACATATTTACTGCATACTTAAGTGAGTTTTTTAAAACCAGTTTCATATAAAGCAATTATTCATTCATTTATTCTATAAATATTAAGCGCTTGTTCTAGACACTGCTAGGTTTTGGGGATAAAATAGTGAACAAAACAAAATTCATGTTTTTATGGGAGCTTTAAGTAAGTAAAAGACACAGGTATTCTTCACTGTTTTGTGAAAGCACTAAAATGATTTATTAGTAGTGGTAGTCATGAATTTTTCGTGAAAATTATTGGGTTAAAATAATCAAGGGTAAAATCTAGCTTTATTTCTTTATCATACAGTAAAAATATCTCAAGAAAGGTCGGATGTATTAAGTTATCATTGTCAAAACTTTTTATTGAAGGTACGACCAGCTTTTTGTTCATATGTATGTCATTAGTAATCACTGTACTTTTCCTTCAATAGCAGATGGTGAGCTATATATATTTGGAGAACCTGAAAATGGAAAGTTAGGTCTTCCCAATGAACTCCTGAGCAATCACAGAATACCCCAGCTGGTGCCTGGAATTCCTGAGAAGGTGATCCAAGTAGCTTGTGGCGGAGAGCATAGTGTGGTTCTCACAGGTATGTGCAGAGTCCACTGTTTTGTTTCCTGCTTTCTGTGATGGCTAATGAAATTTTTTTAATGTTCATTTTTTTATTGTGATAAGAATACATACCATGAGAACTACCTTCATGATAGATTTTTAAGTGTATAATATGGTATTTTTTATATATAGGTACAACCATTGTACAGCAGATCTCTGAAACTTATCTTGAGTAACTGAAACTTCATGCCCACTGGACGGCAACTCCTCTTTCCTGCCTCCCCTGAGCTCCTGGCAACCACTGTTCTATTCTTAGCCTCTGTGAGTTTGACTCTTAGATACCTTGTGTCAGGTGGCCTTGCATCTCTTTCCATTAAGAATCTCACTTTTTGGGCCTGGTAAAATAGCTGACGCCTATAATCCTAACATTTTGGGAGGCCACGGTGGACAGATCTCTTGACCCCAGGAGTTCAAGACCAACCTAAGCAACAGGATGAAACCCCATCTTTACCAAAATTAACCAAGTGTGGTTTCAGCTATGCAGGAGGCTGAGGTGGGAGGATCACCTGAGCCTGGGGAGGTTGAGGTTGAGGTGAGTGGTGATTGTGCCACTGCACTGAAGCCTGGGCAAACAGAACCAGACCTTGTCTCAAAAAAAAAAAAAAAAAAAAAAAAAAAAAAAACCAAAAA